GGAGTTCGAATAATTCAATAATATACTATAATTAATGTTTTATAGGCTTATCTCCTGAACTCGTAACCAGTATTTATGATTAACCTGCGAGAACTGTTCTGACCAAACACATGACTATGGCCATTACAAGTTCTAACGATTCAGCCTGTTTTATCTTGTGAGGCATTGGTAAATAATTTGATATTGACATCGCGTTAATGTCTTTATCGTGTGCTTGATGTGTGAAAAGTCGATATTATATTATACTAGGATCATAGCGATAGGTTTGATCTTCAATATCCAAAGTAGGTGTGATGAAAAAACATCATCATCATATTGTTCATTAACGAGTTTTGCTGAAAAATTTGATATTCAAGAGCCAATGCATTGACAACGTTTCTAAACGCGATGGTTTCTGATGGATGTTCATTCTGTTATTCATTCATTGCGTCGGACAGGCCCTCTTCGCGCTACTCGTGAACGGAGAGACGTAGCATGTTATGTAGTGGTGGCGGAAATTGAGCCCGCACTTGTGGTTATGGTGCTAGCGGTCGCGATTGCGATTGTGATTGAGTTGACAATGATACATCAACTCAAATGCTTTTGATTGTTCGTTTTCATAACAGATTGCAAGATTATATTGTGTTTCAGGTTTTTTAGATCTTGCTGCTTTAATATATCATTCTTAGTTCATCTTTAATTGTTCCTTGTCCGTTTTCGTAACAGATGGTAAAGTTATATTATAATTCAGGATCTTCTTCAATATCCAAAGTAGGCGTGATGAGTTTATTTTGTAGTAAAAATACGAGTTCAAAAGCCAAAATATCGACAACATGACAGTTACGGAACAATAGTGCATACCTTAGTGTTTGAAGTACTCGGAGATGCGTTGGCGAGCGATGGTTTTTGATGGACGTTCATTTCTGTTATTCTTTCACTGCGTCGGACCTCTTCGCGTAGTTCATAAACGGAGAGGCGCAGCGTGTTATGGTAGTGGTGGCGGTAATTGAGGCTGCATTTGTGGCGGTCGCGATTGCAATTGAGCTGATAGTTGTGGTGATAATGATCGTATCCATTCGAATGCTTTTAATTGTTCGTTTTCATAAAAGACGGATATACTATTCTTGGTTCAGCTTTAATTGTTCTTCGTAACAAATGGCAAGATTATACTTCAGGATCTTTATGCTTAGCTGCTTTAATATACGATTTAAATTTTTTTTAATTGTTCCTTGTCTGTTTTCATACTAGATGGCAAGGTTTCAGGATCTTCATAGGTTGCGATACTAAGGAGGTTTGATCTTTAACATCCGATGAAGAAATATAATATGTAAAGTTATTATGTAGTAAAAATAGACTTTTTGCTGAAAAATGTGGTAAATTTGATATTCAATATATCGACAACGTGGTGATTTCGGAACAATAATGCTCGCATCAGCATATCTTAGTGTTTGAATAATTCGGCGATGCGTTGGCGAGCGATGGTTTTGAGGGAAGTTCATTTCTTCTCTTATTCATTTCTGCTATTCTTTCGCTGCGTCGGACAGGTCCTCTTCGTGCTGCTCGTGAACGGAGAGGCACAGCGTGTTGTGGTTGTGGTGGACCAAATATCAATACTATATCGAATACGCGTTCTTCTCTTAATAACAATTTACCTTCAAGAAACATGCAATCAAATATCAATATTACAAGTTCTTCCAATACAATTAATTCTACTAGTTCTATTAATCTGATTAATGACATTAGCTTTAGTCCTATTAATACAGTTAGTGTTATCAATAATCAACAATCACGAAATGCACGAAATGCACGAAATATACGAAATGGTAATATTAATAGTTTTGTTGATAGAATCTCACATTCTGAACAAATAGAAAATGAAAAAGCATTTGCTGAAGCTATTTTTAAATGTGGATTACAACTATCACTTTCTGAAATGAAGCCATTAAATGATTGGGTTAAAAAAATGCGTCCAGCATTAAACTTCCATCACGTAAAAAATTTCAACTAGTTTACTTAATAAAATATATCAAGATACTAATAAAAATAAAGTAGAAAATTATATAAATAATGCTGAATTTGTTTGTCTTATTTGTGATGGATGGTAAGTTATATTTATATATTTTTATTATTATTCAAACTAATTATTATTATTATAAGTCAAGTATTGTTCAAGAATATTGGTCTAATTTTATTTTAACTACACCAATACCAGTATTTGTTTCAGCTAAACCTACAGGAGAAATTGAACAGAATGCAACAAATATATCTTCAGATATGAATGAAATAATGAGTCAACTTGATATTAGAAAATTATCAACTGTAATTACAGATAATGCTTCAATAATGAAATCAGCCTGGAGAATTTTATTAAATATCTAAGCATTATATTATGGGATGTTTAGCATATTTATTCAACTTATTAATTAATAATATTATGAAACTTAACTGGGCAAAAAATATAATATCAAAAGCAAAAGTAATAGTTAAATACTTCAAATCTCATCATATTCCAGCAGCAATTTTAAAATAACATCAAAAAACAACTTATAAAAATACTTGGATTACACTTAAACTTTCAGTAAAAACTTGATGAGGATTTAATACAACTTGTTTTGCATCTTTAAAAGCAAATTATTTGGCTCTTGGATTAGTTACTCATGAAATTTCAATAAATTCAAACATAACAATGAATGAAGAAATTAAAATTAATATATTAAATGAGAATTTTTGAAAAGAATTTATTGAGCTTTTTGCAGTATTTGAAAACATAACTATAGATATTACAATTTTTGAAAGTGATACTTCAAAACTTTCTTATTTTTATGAATGGTATGAAGCCTTAGAAAATTCAGAAGATGAAATTTATTTATTATTTTTGATAAAATATTAAATTAAAATTAAATAAATACTTATAATTTATAATTAATTTTATTAAGCTATTTCAAATTTATCAATAGCAACACAAATTAATCACAAGATGAGAAAAAATTTTTATAATCCAATTATGCTTGTTGCTCATTTATTGAATTTACGCTTTTTTGGAAAACAATTATCTAATAATAATATGAATAAAATTTTAACTTTTATTAATAATTATTATTCAGAAGGTAAAATTATTATTGGAAATTAGCTTATGCAATATAAAGCAAAGTCCAGTTTATTTAGTAATAAATTAGCATGAAAATATATAAATGATATTGATCCAATTATGTGGTGAACTGCAAATTTTACACAAGCAGCACCAGAATTAATACAAGTAGTGTGATATATCTTAACAATTCCAATATCATTAGCAGCTGTAAGAATACTTTCTTATGTGAAAAGTAATAAGATAAATTTATTAATTGTTGTAAATAAATTATATTAATTGAGA